GATGGAATACACAGAAATCAAATTGACTACATCTGTGGATAGATGTGATGGAGAAACTCAGTATCTTCAGCCAAAACAAGACCAGAAGCTGACTGTGGAATAGACCATCAATTGCTCACGTGCAAGTTCAACCTGAAGCTGAAAAAAACTAAAATAAGTCCAAGAGAGCCAAAATATGATCTTGATTGTATGCCATCTGAATTTAGAGACCATCTAAGAACAGAACTGACACTGTGAACACTAATGACTGAAAACCAGACAAGTAGTGGGATGACATCAAGAACATGAGTGTTCTGGTTACCTAGTGCTGCTCTGACAAGAATATACCACAAATGGGATGGCTGTAACAAACAGGAGTTTATTCTTATAATTTGGAGGCTTTAAGTCCAAGTTCAAAGAGCCAAACTCCAGGGGCTGGGTGAAACCCCTCAACCTTGGGGTCCAGCTCTGCCTTCTGCTCCTGGCCCACTGGAGCCAGAGGCATTTTTTCACTCAAACAGCTGCTGGCTGCTGAGGCTGAGAAGCCCCAAGGTTGACAAGTAAAAAGGCACAGTCCCTATGTTACCAATCCACATGGCAGGCCATTAACTTAAATCCATTGTAAGTCCCAAGGTCGGCAGAGCATAGCAGGCTGCTGGGCAATGACATGGCTGCATGCAGGGTCCAAGCATGCCAAAGGCTAGAGACCATTCTCAAAGCTTCTCCTTATATACGGGAAGCAGACTACATACCCAAAGGCAGCTACTCAGCTGGTCCTAGTAGATTCCACCATGGAGGTGATTACCAGTCTCATCATGGGGAATACTACCATGCAGCTGCCCAGACATTCAACCAGGCCTAGCCAAGTTGACATACAAACATAACCATCACAATGAGGAAAGGAAAGGTCATTAAAAAGACAAGAAAGGAAGAAAAGACCAAAGTGGATGTCAGAAGAGACTGGAACTTGTTTTTGAATGGAGAGTAGCTAAAGCAAATGGAAGAAATGACAAGATAAAAGGGCTGACAGAAGATTTCAAAGAGCAGCTCAAGAAGACAAAGTCAATTATAATTAAATGTTCAAAGGCCTGGGGTTAGAAAACCAAAGGGAAGAACATGCTCAGTATTTCTCAAGCTGAAAGAACTGAAGAAAAAATTCAAGTTTAGTGTTGCGATATTGAAGATTTCTGCAAAATACTGGATGGTGTGGGACGCATCAAAAGAAAATGGAAAGAATACACAGTAACTGCACAAAAATAATTGATTGATGTTCAACTATTTCAGGTGCCATTTGATCAAGAATCAATGGTATTGAAGGGAGAAGTCAAAGCTGCACTGAAGGAATTGGCAAAAAAAAAAAAAAAAGCCTTCAGAAATTGAAGGAATATGCATTGAGATACTTCAACAAATGGATGCTGTACTGGAATCACTTACTTATTTACACTAAGAAATTTGGAAGAGAGTTACCTGGCCAACTGACTGGAAGAGATCCATATTTATACCCATTCCAAAGAAGGGTGATCCAACAGAGTGTGAAAATTATTTAACAATATCATTATCATCACAAGTTAAATCTTGCTGAAGATAATCTAAAAACTGTTGCAGCCATATACTGACAGAGAACTTCCAGAAATGCAAGTTACATTCAGAAGAGAATGGGGCATGAGTGATATCATTGCTGATGTCAGGGGATCTTGGCTAAAAGCAAAGAATACCAGAAGGATGTTTACTTGTGTTTTGCTGACTATTCAAAAGCATTTGACTCTGGATCATAACAAATTATGGATAACATTGCAAAGAATAGGAATTTCAGAGCCTTTAATTGTGCTAATAAGGAACATGCATTTGACTAGGAGGCTGTCATTTGAACAGAACAAGGGGATACTGTATGGTTTAAAATCAGGAAGGGTGTGTGTCAAGGTTATATTCTTTCACCATACTTTTTCAGTCTGTATGCCAAGCAAATAATCTAAGAAGCTGGACTGGATGAAGAATGCAGCATCAAGATTGGAGGATCATTAATAATCTGTGATATGAGGAGGACACAACCTTGCTTCCTGAAAGTGAAAATGACTCAAAGTGCTTACTGATGAAGACTAAAGACTATAGTCTGCAGTAAAGATTACACCTCAACATAAGGGAAACAAAAATCCTCACAACTGGACCAATAAGCAGCATCATGATAAATGGAGAAAAGATTGAAGTTGTCCAAGATTTCGTTTTACTTGGATCCTCAATCAACACCCATGGAAGCAGCAGTTGGGAAATAAGACATCATATTGCACTGGGTAAATCTGCTTCAAAAGACCTCTTTAAAGGGTTAAAAAGCAAAAATGTCTCTTTGAAGACTAAGGTACATCTGAACCAAGCAATGGTATTTTCAGTCACCTCATATGCATGGGAAAGCTGGACAGTGAATAAGGAAGACTGAAGAAGAGTTGATGCTTTTGAATTGTGGTGCTGGTAAAGAATACTGAAAATGCCATGGACTGCAAGAAGAATGAACAAATCTGTCCTGGGAGAAGTGCAGTTAGGATGCTCCTTGGAAGTGAGAATGGCCAGACTTTGTCCCACCTACTTTGGTCATGTTGTCAGAAAGGACCATTTCTTGGAGAAGGATATCATGCTTGGTAAAGTGGAGAGTCAGCGAAAAAGGGTTAGACCCTCAACAAAATGGATTAACTCAGTGGCTGCAACGATGGGCTCAAGTATAGTCAGGATAATGAGGATGGTGTAACACTCCTGAGCAGTGTTTCGTTCTATTGTACACAGGGTTGCTATGAGTCAGAGCTGACTCAACAGCACTAACAACAACAAAAAGTCCCAACAGTTGATCCCATGAATGTGTCTAACAGAAACTTACCATGTTATTTCTTAAATTTCATATTTTCTCCATGTCAATAATCCTTTTCCTTTCCACCTGGGTTTTAAAACTTGGAGTCATTTTATATAATTTCCCTTCACACCTCAAATATTTATTTATTTTACAAAATACTCTTTAATCCATCTGTTGTTTTTCCAAGTTAACTGTGATTACCACACTGCCCCGAGTCTTCAATTACACCTCACTTTCAATGACATCTACACTTTACTTTCTACCAGCTCAGCTCATGTGTGAGATGAATCTATCTGAAATATCTTCTCTGGATCAGAAACTGACACATTATTTCCTACCTCACCATTTCAAATGCTTACTAATTCCATGCCACCTACATTTCTTTTATTTCTTTTCCTTTTTAACATGAATGTCTTATTCTCTCTTTTTTTTTTTTTTTGAATATTTTATTGTGTTTTAGTTGAAAGTTTACACAATAAATTAGTTTATCATTCAGTATTCATACACACATTGTTCCTTGACATTGGTTACTATCACCACATTGTGACATCACTCTCCCCAGTTTTTCCCCCTGCCTTCTCTGTTTCCCAAAGGAGTTATGGTGGGACTATGGTTAAAGTATTCAGCTGCTAACCAGAAGGCCAGTGGTTTGAACCATCTGGCTGATCCATGGGAAAAAGATGAGACAGTTTGCTTCTGTAAAGATGTACAGCCTTGGAAACCCTAGGTCAGTTCTACTCTGTCCTATTGGGTCAATATGAATCAGAATCTACTTGATTGGAATAGGTTTGGTTTTGGGTTTCCTGTTGCCATCTGTCTGGTTTCTGTGCCCCTCCTTGGCTTTTCATCTTTGCTTTTGGGCAGATGTTTCCTGTTTGGTCTTGTGTAATTATTCTTTTAAAGGATCACATTCCTCATGGGTCTCACTGTTTATGTCATAGATGTCCTCTGTATTTCTGTAGCAATTTCAAACTATCCTGCTATATTTAGGACTTGATTATATACTGTCTTCACTCAGGTATATTGGTATTGCCAACCTGGGTAGATGTTTTGTTTTAGTGTAGTAAATATATATAACAAAACATTTGACATTTCACCTATTTTTACATGTACAGTTCATTGACATTAATTATGTTCATTATGTTGCTCAACAATCACACTTATGTGGTCCTAAGTTATACCATCATCCTTAACAGAAACTCACTGTCCTCTAAGCATTGAGTCCTCCTTTTTCTCTGTCTCTTGCTTGATTAATAAACTTTTATCTCTATGTGTTTGCCTATTTTAGATATTTCATACAAGTGAGATATATGAAATTACAATATTTTCCTTTTGTGACTGACTTATTTCACTCAGCATAGTGTTTTCAGTGTTCCTTCATATTGTAGTGTGTGTCAGGACTCCGTTTCTCTTTATGGCTGAGTAATATTCCATTGTATGTATATAACCCTTTTCGTTTGTCCAGTCATCTGTTGGTGGACATTTAGAGTGTTTCCACATTTTGGCTATTGTTAATAGTATTACAATGAATATTGGTGTGGAAGTATCTGAGTCCCTGCTTTCAAGTCTTTTGGGTATACACTTAGAAGTGGAATTGCTGGGCCATATGATAATTCTCTGGTAGCAGTGGCTAAGGCACTTGACTGCTAACCAGAAGGCTGGCAGTTCAAACCCACCAGCCACTCCTCAGAAGGAAGATGGGGCGATCTACTTCCGTAGTGATACTGCTTTGGAAACCCAAGGAGGGGTCGCTATGAGTTGGGTCTGACTCGACGGCACATAACAACAACAACATGGTAATTCAATGTTTAGCTTTTTTAGAAACCACCAAACTGTTTTCCATAGTGGTCACAGCATTTCAGTCAAGCAAGCAATGAATGAGGGTTCTAGTTTCTCCACAGCCTTGCCAATGTCTGTTTTCTGCTTTTCTAAACATAGTTATATTTTAAGAACAGGGTCCAAATATTTTAATTGTCTAATTCTCATGATTTTTAATACAGTGATAAATATAGGTTAAATGCTCAAATATTACTTTGTAATTGACATATCTACACAGGCAGTTATATTATTTGATGTAGGGATACTTGATGCCATCACCCACAATTGTTGTGTACCAGAGTTCCATTAGCTTGGCAATATTAATGATCTTCTCCTCTCTTTTCTCTTCCCAACCGCAGCGTGTGCTTTCCGATACAATGGGTTCTCGTTTGTCTACCTTATCTACCTCTTGCTCATTCCTCTATTCTCAGAACCAACAAAAGAAACAATGCAAGGTAAGAAGCATTTTTTACTCTATTTTTAGAGTTATATAGTCTGAATGTTTTTTTGCTGTGCTTCTAGATGGGCCCTTGTCCCAGTGAGAGATGGTGTCTGTACAGCAGGTCCAGTCATGTGGGGAATAATGTCAAAGGTTCTAATAGCTGAACCAAGTCAAGCATGTGGAACTTGATTGTGATACATGTTTTTTTTTTTTTTTTTTTAAATCTATCACTTGCACAACTATTCTTCTCATATAAGTTCTCTATTAGGTCTTTATTAGTAGACTTGGCATTGTTTCCTCAATTTTGGGGCCAATTAAGTCTAAATCAAAATATTATCAACAAAATAAGGCAGATGGTATGACAACATTGGCACATAATTTGCACATCGGATTGCTGGGGAATATGGTAATATGTAGAAAAGAGGCTAAGCAGTGTCTTAGGTTTGTGGGACCAATCCCAGTACAACCTTATTGCTAAAGAATTCATCATAAACCAAGACATTTAAACGGAATAGTTTTCTGGATCAGAAATAAAATAATATGTATTGGTAGCCTTTGTCTCAAAACTTAGAGCTCATTGTTCAGAGAAAGAAGGTTTCATATGTATTCAGAATGAAGTGATTTAAAAAATAGTGTATATGTGTGTGTGTGTGTGTGTATATGTAGTGTGTGTGTGTGTGTGTGTATATATATATATATGGTTCACATATATATAAACCAAACCAAATTCACTGCCATTGAGTCAGATCCAACCCATAATGGCCCTTCCTTGGGTTACCATGGCATTATTACTTCGGAGGTAGATTGCCCAATCTCTCTCTATATATATTTGGCGCTCTGGTGGCATAGTGCCTAAGGCATTTGACTGCTAACCAGAAGGCTGGCGTTTCAAACCCACCAGCCACTCTGTGGTAGGAAGACTGGGCAATCTACTTCCATAAAGATTTACCACCTCTGAAACCCAATGGGGGGTCACTATGAGTTGGAATTGACTCGGTGGCAGTGAGTTTTATAAATTATATAATGTAAAGTATAATACACACACACACACACACATATATATATATATATATATTTAAACTGTAATATTTGGGTGGAAGTGTACAGAGCAAATTGATTTTCCATTCAGCAATCTATACACATTTTGGTTTGTGAAACTGATTGCAATCCCCACAGTGTTAACAGCATTCTTACCACTTTGCCCCCCCCATGTTTACCATTTCCCTTCACCCTTCTTTCCTGTCCCTTCCTACCTTCAGAGCTTTATCCCTGTGCAAATGCTGCCCTTTTGATCTCTTATGGTTAATTGTTTCCAGGAGTGGGTATTTCCTTGGTATTTTTGTTCATATTATTGGCATAAGGAGCTCTGGTAGCATAGTGGCTAAGTCACTTGCCTGCTAACCAGACGGCTGGTGGTTCAAACCCACCAGCCACTCCTCAGAAGGAAGGTTGGGCAATCCTACTTCCGTAGTGATACTGCCTCGAAAACCCAAGGAGAGGTCGCTGTGAGTCGGGGCTGACTTGACGGCACATAACAACAACAACAACATTATTGGCATGTCTATTGTTAGGTTGAAAGTTGAGCCACAGGGGTGAGTTTAGGTCCAGGGTTGAAGGATCTTGGGAGTTTCACCCTTCTTATCAGACCAGTAACCTTGTCTTTTTTTTTTTTTTTTTAATATAATTTTGAATTTTGTTCCACATTTTTCTCCTATTCTTTCAGTGATATCTTTTTGTGATCCCTTTCAGAGCTGTCCATAGTAGTAGCATGGCACCATCTAGTTTTTCGGGTCTCAGGTTGTAAATACTAGGATTCACATGGTCCAGTAGTCCTTAGGACTAATAGTTTCCTTCTATCTTTGGTTTTCTTCCTTCTTCTTTGCTCCAGATAGGAATAGACCAATATTTGAACCTTAGATGGCCACTCACAAGCTTTTAAGACCCCAGTCACTACTTAACAAAGTAGGGTGTACAACATTGTTTTTGTGGAATATGTTATACCAATTGACCTTGATATCTTCCAGAATAATGGTCCTGAGCCCCCATGCCCAGTGACTCATTCCCTCAGGTGTTCAGTTTTGACTAAGAAGTTTTCATAATTTTCCCCCGTATGCTCTACTATATTCATTGATATATTTACAACACATATAAATACATATGTAGAAATATTCTCTGTGCGACTTGTATACACTCATGGGTGCAATCCCATTTTTCTTCCCACCTCTGTTCAGCCTGAGTTTCTATTTATGTATCCACTCTTAGATTATTGTTATTATTCTTATTGCAGAATTGTGTATATAATAGCATTTATTTATTTATTTTTTTTGCCTTTAATTCCTGGGCTTCTGCGAGTAACTTCCTTAACTTTGACAGTTTTGTGCTGACTTCCACCTTATTGTATATTGCTTTCTCTTCCCCCAAGTTAAGATGTGTTTACCTTGTGGTTAGTGATATTTTCCTCCCTTCTCCTCCCACTCCTGGTAACCTTCAAAGAATGATTCTTTGTGTGTAAACGTTTACTATTTACAGTAGTGGTTCATACAATATTTGTTCTTTTGTGATTGACTAATTTGAAAATTCTCTAACTACATCATTTATTTTCTCTTTTTCTTTTAGTTCTCATCATTTACAAATTGATATCTCAGGTTACCTGTTTTCAGTGTTGTAGCTTTATTTTATTTTTGATATTTCATTTGTATAATGGATAATGATTGTGAAGATTTCTTCATGTGTTTGTTGGTTGTCTTAATATCTTCTTTGGTAAAGTGTCTGTTCATATATTCTGCCCATTTTTTAATTGGATTCTTTGGCTTTTTGATGTTGAGATTTTGAAGTTTTCTGTAAATTTTAGAGATAAGTCTTTAGTCTGATACGTCATTGCCGAATATTTTTTTCCTATTCTGTACGTTCTCTTTTTACTCTTTTGGAGAAGCCTTTTGATGCACATAAGAATTTGATTTTTAGAAGGTCCCATTCATCTAGTTTCTGTTCTGCTGTTTATGCATCCTGGGTTATCCTTGATAGTCTATCTATGCCATAAATTAGGGCTCTTAAGTTTGCCCCTGTTTTTTCTTCAATGAACTTAAAATTTTAGGTTTCACATAGAAGACTTTGATCCACCTTGAGTTAGTTTTTGTGTATGGTGTGAGATATGGATCATGTATCATTTTCCTGCAGATGGATATCCAGTTTTGCCAGCACTATTTGTTGGAGACTATGTCTTCCCTATTTAATGGATTTTGGCTGTTCGTCAAAGATCAGGTGACTATACATTGATGGATCTATTTCTGGGTTCTCAATTATGTTCCACTGGTCTTTGTGTCTGTCGTTGCATGAATACCAGGCTGTTTTCACAACTGTGGCTGTATAGTAGGTTTTGCAATCTGGGAATGTAAGACCCCTTATTTTGTTTTTCTTCAGTAGTGCTTTGCCTATCTGAGGTCTCTTTCTTTTCTATGTAAAATTAATGATTGGTTTTTCCAAGTCCTTAATGGATGTTGATGGTTCTGAATTGGAATTGCATTGGGTGTATAGATTGCTTTGGGTAGTACTGACATTTCCACAATGTTCAGTCTTGCTGTCTAGGAACATGGTATGTCCTTCCATTTATGTAGATCTCTCATAGTTTCTTGAAGTAGTATTTTGTAGTTTTCTTTGTAAAGGTCTTTTGTGTTTCTGATAAGATTTATTCCCAAGTATCTTTTTGGTAGCATGTAAATTGTATTGATTCCTTTATTTCCTTTTCAGAGAATTATTTGCTGGTGTAGATGAATCCAACTGATTTTTGTATGTTGATCATGTATCCTGCCACTATGGTAAATTTTTCACTAAGTTCCACTAGATTTCTTGCTGAGTCTGTTGGGTTTTCTTTTTCCTTTATTTTACTTATGTGATGGATTATGTTGATTGTTTCTAATTTTGAACCATCCTTGCCTACCTGGTATGAATCCCATTTGTCATGATGCATTCTTTCTTTCCTGAAAGTACCATGGACTGCTAAAAGAACTAACAGATCTGTCCTGGAGGAAGTTGGCCCCAGGGTTACAGGTGAGGAAAGACAACTCAGGGACGCCCAAAGTAGCAGGCGGGAAGAGCA